AAGGGTGGTTCTAGTGGTTCATTGTGAAGATTTATTTAGTCCGCATGGAGGGGTAAACACGACAACTTAAGACAAATATTTACTGTAGAACTCAAACTACCTTTAATCTCTCCATCTATTACGTGGGAAGCCATGGAATGTAAATGGCTATTTAATTTTGTTTTGTTTAGTTATAATTCTGTGACCTGGTGCTAATGCCGGCTGTACACGCTCGTCTCGTAGCCTCCCGTACCTCTCGTCGTGTTGAGGCTCGACACGAGAACAAATACATACACACTCGCTGTATCATTTGAACTCCTCATGCCCGCTGAGATGGACCTAGATGAAACTGTTGCTGCGTTTTGCCTTTGTTATTAGTTATTATAACTTTTTACACATTTACCGTAAAAATAAAATTAATAAGCCACGTCGAAGAAGAAGATGATGGATGGTTTCTATTTACCGTAACTGAACCATGTATGGTGAATAGAATATTGTACGCTTTCGTTTTCCTCTTGAGACCCTTTGACTCGAGCGCAAAAAACCGACACGCTTCCGAGAGCACACTAGGGCCACGAGACGTGACGCGACGCGACGAGAGCACCATGTACACACTAGTACTCGGCCTGTCTCGTGTTGTCTCGACGAGCGTGTACAGCCTACATAAAAGAGCCAAAGTACGTTTTTATTAAACAGTACAGTACTGTAGAGAAGCACATATTTTATTTTATTAAACAGTATGAAAGTACACATTACAATGGCCTTTTTTACATAGTATCTTTTGAAAGACTATCAATAAACGTACGCCCTTTTAGAACAAACAAATTTTATAATATTCAATAATATGGCTTTAAAATCTTATTTCTTAAAAAACTTATTTTAGCCCTCTTAGCATCAGGTCACAGATATATTTTTTCGGCTAAGCAATTCCAAAATTTTCGAAAACTAAATGAAATTGATGGGTAAAAATTTTAATTAGCGAGTCAACTAAAAAGAACTAGTTTTTACGATAATGTCTGAGTAGAAACACCTAAAATTAAAGTAATAATAAAGTTGATTTTTGCTCATTTCAAGATAAAGTTAGTTTTTCAGTTGTATTGAAGTCAGTCTTACAATTTTAATTAAAACTTTTAATTTTTAATTTTACCACATGTTATTGCATGTTTTATTTCATTTTTGTCCCATAAAGTTAAACCTACAAGCACTGACTGTAATTTTAAAATATATATTGAAATCGGCTTATATTTTTAATATTCGTATTAATTCTGTATATTTTTGGCATACTTTTTGTCCTGTATAATTTATGAAGTTACGTGTTATAATATTTATACACTCACGACGTTACGAATACTACGTTGGATGTTAAAAATAAAGATGAAATTAAAATATCCCAATAATATCGATAGCAAGGGTCTCGTAAATAATGTTTGCATTCTCGTAACGCAAACTGGTGATAGGTTATTCTATCGTTACACCCTCTACATCTCAGGACGTCATATAATTCGTGTGGACGATAGACCGACCAACAAAATATTATGATTGAACGATATTAAGCACCACCTACTATTCGTAGCAATCGATACGACGGCGCGGGGAGTGTTGATATATGAATAATGTTTGAGTGTCGTTTCATTTTCTTTTATTACAAGAAAGCTACCTACTGTGTCATATCCGCTTCGTTTATATTTGGTGTGTTTCTTTGAAAATAAAGCTTAACGAAACACTTATGGCACAGTCTTAATATTGATTACTGTACTTAGGTACAAATTAAGAATCAGAAATACAATTTGTCTGTCATGGAGGTTCTTCTCAGAAACTACAACCACATGAGATGACCGATTTTTTAAAATCGCTAACATTCCATTAGTGATCTGGGGACCTTTTTACTTAGGAACCCGTCTGTGTAGGTACCACCCTCTTTCCTCTTCTGCCCAAGAGTATGTCTGGGTAGGTATCACCCTGTTTCCTCTTCTGCCCAAGAGTACGTCTGGGTAAGTACCACTCTCTTTCCTTTTTTGCCCAAGAGTACGTCTGGGTAGGTACCAACCTTATTCCTCTTCTGCCCAAGAGTACGTCTGGGTAGGTACCACCCTCTTTCCTCTTCTGCCCAAGAGTACGTCTGGGTAGGTACCAACCTATTTCCTCTTCTGCCATAGAGTACGTCTGGGTAGGTATCAACCTATTTCCTCTTCTGCTATAGAGTACGTCTGGGTAGGTACCACCCTATTTCCTCTTCTGCCATAGAGTACGTCTGGGTAGGTACCACCCTCTTTCCTCTTCTGCCCAAGAGTACGTCTGGGTAGGTACCAACCTTATTCCTCTTCTGCCCAAGAGTACGTCTGGGTAGGTACCACCCTCTTTCCTCTTCTGCCCAAGAGTACGTCTGGGTAGGTACCAAACTTATTCCTCTTCTGCCCAAGAGTACGTCTGGGTAGGTACCACCCTCTTTCCTTTTCTGCCGCCAAATATCAGTGCCTTCACTGCTACGTTGCGGTCTGAAGTATACCCTTGCTGGAGAGCCAGTACAATTCCAGAGTATGGCATTCCATCTTAGTGCTCAGAGCTGGCCAAGCTATCTATAGCCTTCTTTGTTAGAAGTTGGCTGCAGGTGTATGCATATGGACTGAAAGTTAGTTTATCGCTTTAGTTTTATAAAAAAATCCCAGCAAAGGAAGAGGCTCAAGTCAAGCTAAAGACATTTACGAGCTGATGATGAAGAAGAGTATCCACAAATAGCAATAATTAATATATAAAATATTTTCATTAAATTCGAAAAGAAAATGAGCCTGAATATTTTATGAATTCTTGAACGTTTGTTATATTGTAACATCACGTGTTGCTACCGAATTCGTAGAGCTGTTATAAGCAATGTAAATTGGAGACCAATTTACATAACCTATTTTTTCGTCTAATCATGTGTTACGGCACCTTTCGCCGTAACGTTTTTCTCTTATCACACAATATCTCACCCTGCCATTTAGATTCAACTCTAGCACACTCCTTAAAGACCGCATTTCTACAGCATTTATTCTACTTTAGTGCATCTTCTGCTACACTCAACTTTCACTACCATACATTAAAGTAGGGATTAACACAGCATTATGAATTACCATACGTGCCTTTTTGACACATTCTGATTCTTTATAATTGAGTGTAGAGCCCCACTCACTCCATTTCCTGCATTTACTCGTCGTTCTATATCCATATCATATCTATCATCCCTGCTTAATACACATCCCAAATACACGATCACAATACACTCATCCACTTACTCAATCAACTCCCCTTTTATTCTTATTTCACATAACGTTTTACTTTCTTCTCTTTCGAAAACCATCACTTCCGTCTTAGTTGCGTTCACTTTCACTTGCGTTGCTCCTTTCTTTTAATGCCTAGTTCATTAATGTAACCATCATTTGCAACTCAGCCGCCGACGATACAAATATGAGTTGATCGGCGTACAAAAGGCATTTGACGGTCAACTTGCCCATTCTTAACACCATATTCTTCATCTTTCAGAGTTTGCAAACAACTGTTCATAAATAGGTTGAACAGCCACAAGGAAGCTACACAGCCCTGTCTGATACATTTTTGGATGCCAAACCAGTCAGAATAAACCCCGTTGATCCTGACACAAGCACTAGAGTCCCTATAAAGAAACTTTATATATATATATATATATATATATATATATATATATATATATATATATATATATATATATATATATTTAAATAAGGTAAGAAAGTTTTCACCTTTCTCATTCATACTTTCGTCACCAAACGTTCCCAATATCCTTTCATAACTAGACCTCTTAACCCCACCCCAACCCTTCCATTGAAAGTCTCCTAACATAAAAATAATTTTCATTTTCCTTACATTTCCCAAATTTTCAATTTTTTTTAATTCAAAAAATTTACCATGTCCCAAAACTGCTCTCGGATATAAGTGGGCTTAGATATGTCTGTGGCGAACACCCCTAGCACAAACAGCTTCTTTAAGCCCACTTTAATTCGTATCCATAGCAACCTCGGGCATACATATTCATACTCTTTCACACATTGAACTATTCTTTCTGAAACGATGAAACCGACTCCCTGGCATGCCGGCTCGGTATCGCCTACACCAGACCAATACGCGGTATACATGCCATGTGCAGTGGCATCATTTCCCTTTCGTTTCGTCACATTTACACATAACACATCTAACATATTGTATGAAGTTTTAATAACTTAATAATAAATATTCCTCCGTCATTCATCATTTCGCATACTTCATCCATCTTGTCATTCATTGCTCTTCATATATTCAGCATAACTAGACGGGCTTCCGCAATACACCGCAATACACTTTTCGCCCCTCCGAGAGGCGAAACGTGACGGGTGGCGAACCTCGTCACAGATTTTGCTCCCAGATATACTTCGCAACCCTGCTCTAAAGCCCTAAAGGGGCGCCAGGATATCGGGGCCATTTCTTTTATTTTCTGCCTCATGGTGTGAACTAGTGGAGTGAGTAGAGGGGGTGGTAGATTTTACGCCGCTACCATACGGCGAGGAGTCGAGTCATATTTTTTTTTCGGTTTTGTTGCTCGTTTAGCACCACCCGGGGGACACGTGTAGGATAGGCCTAGGGTTAGGTGGTGGAAGCCCACGGATGCGAGCGACTCATCCCTCATATTTTGATATTGCAGCAAAATGTCTTAAAGTATATATTATACACCGTAAAAAACAATTTACGCTTCGTGCCATTGAATCAAAATATTTGAAATTTAGAAATCAACAAATCATTGCTGATGAACGCTCAAGTGAATGCAAATCAAACAAAATTATCACTGCTCGCCATGCATAACTTACCTAACTGTTACATTTGTATATAAAAACGTAGAAGATCTGGATTATCAGACAAATTCCGCTAAAGCGATGGGACGACAGACGGCACTGGGGATTTTAGGTGCGTTTTTGAAATAATTATTCAATTTAGTTTATTTATCTTATATTATTAAAACAAACAGAACAGAGAAAATGTTTTCTTACTTATTTACAGTATTAGTTGCATCAACGGCAGCGGCACCAGCACTACTTACATTACCACCCTATTCTGAGCCATGTTACGACCCAGAACCAAGCCCCTGCTATCTACCGTGCCCAGAACCTTTTCTTCCACCATGCCCTGAACCTTTATCTGAACCACCTTGTTTAGAAACAAATAACCCACCTTGCCCATTACCACGTCCATCGCAACCCGCCGACCCTAACCTGCCACCACCAAGTAAGTATAAAAGTGATATTTTAAAACTGTTCTTCAGGAATTTTATTAAACAGTTAAATATTATTGCAGCTCCTGGTGGCAATGGACCGATTAGAGTCATATTATCGAAGTCAAGAATTCCTGAAAAATTACGCTCAGCAGGTTTCCAAGCTGTACAAGTACCAGGTGGAACATTTTATATTACCCATTCCCCTCCAGTACTCATACAGCCACCCTCCATTTTAGTTAGACCAGCTCCACTTCGTCCGATCACTCCTGCCGCTATTACTGTGCAACCCCCGCAACAACCACCTATAGTGCCACCACGTATAGTTGTAAGGCCTGCACCGTTGCCCCCTATAACACCCCCTCCTATCTGCGTACGTCCACCTCGGCCTGCTCCAATCCAACCGAAATCCGTTGTTGTAAGGCCACCGAAACCAGCACCAATTCAACCGTCACCAATCACTGTAACGCAGCCACAGCCTTCTCCAATAAATCCACCCCCAATTGTCGTCCAACAGCCTACACTGCCGACAGTTCAACCACCAACAATATGCATTCCCACGTCAGCTATTTTCAAAGGCGAACCTAGTATAAGGTATCCAGGTATACCTGAACCTTGCTCTGTTCCGTGTCCAAGTCCATGTTCCTGTCCATACTGTTCTAGCCCGTGCGCTTAAAATACCTACGTCTTAAAACTAAATGTTTAATTCATACTTGCAAATGGCGTCCAGAAATTAAAACGATTCTATAGATCAACATAATCTTACTACACAAGACGTTATAAAAATGAACAATGTGTTTTCATCGGAATTTCAAGTCATCTAATCTTTTGAAGGCATAATTCAATTTTTAATATTCATAATTCATTTTTGAAGGCAAATTTCTTACAGAAATCTCTATCCAGAAGATCTCTTTCTAACTTACTCGACCCACGGCAAATTCATATTCAGATATTGATCGTTTATTGTTATTTTAACATTGCATTGTATAAGAATACCCGCACAAGATTCAATTGTATAAAAATGTTTGTAAATGCTAGCTTATTTCGGTTTATGATATATTTATCAACTATTCGAAAATACAATTATTTTTTATGTATGTATGCGTGCATTAAAAAGTTTTCATCACTGAATAATTGTGTATTTATTCTATTCCTAAATGGCTATCTATATTAATTAGTGATTTTGCAAGGTGATATTAAGATAATTTATATAAATGTAATAATAACCCCGCCTCTAACTACACGTCTTAGAAAATAATGATGATCGACTATTTACTAGAATCAACTTTAAGCATGTAATGAAGAAAGTAGTACGATTCTTAGAGGACATTACAAACATTTAGAAATCTAAAGGACAACAAACATAATTTATCTAAATCATGGCTCTACCACGTACAAAAGCTGTTTACTCAGCCGAAATAGCTCCAATCTTAGCTCCAGCAGTTCAAACTATGACTATGTGATACTATCTTAAATTAGACAAATAAGCGTTCCCTTTAACTTTTTCCATAAATAAAGAATTAATTATTAACTTTAAGAACTAAAATTACAGGAACACCTTTTTACCACACGCGAACATTAATAGCTCCGTAATAGTTTGATTTTTAAAAAGGGTAGCTTAAACGTTAGGTGACATTGTGATATTCTGTATATTTAAATGAATTATAATATAACACACTGTTAAACAAAAATTGTAATGAGAGTAATTTGTAAAAGGGATGACTTTGTTTAATACAAAAAAAATCCTGTGAAAAAAGTATTAACTACGAAAATAGCCTGTTTTTTTTTTTAATATTATGTAAAAATATTGTATTGTAAGTGGTAAATGATTGTGGGAAAAATTCATTGTCAACCGCCAATTTCAAATAGTTCATCAAAATTAACTCCATGTCCGATACCGAAGAAATTCATTGTATGAATATTGAAATTAATGAATGGGACTGAAAATGTCCTCGCCTCTATTTACCTCTCGCTCGCATACTCTGGCCATCTTTAGTCACACCCGGCGGTAAAGACTACAAATAAATATGTTTCGATATGCGTTTTTCTTATGTGCTATAACTTGAGTCTGTCTTATTATTGGCATAAATGGTAACAAAAAGACATAAATTTAAAAAAATACCCCGTTTTGCAAATATGAGAGCTAGACGCATTCTGAGAGATTTTTTACATAATTATTGTTCATTTTGTTTATAATTTTGTTAAGTCCCTGTTATTGTTTTTGTTTACTACTTATGGCAAAGCGTTCTTAGTTATTTTGTTTTTGTTAACTATTGCGTTATTTGGTGTTTTTCTTCTATTATTTATATCTACATTCTGTTACGGAGCATAAGCGCAGGAAATTACTACATAGTGCTACTCATAAAACTGTATATAACGTAATAAAGTGTTTTGAGGAAGAGAAAAAAGCTGGACCGTTATCATTTATCGCCCAATGCAATATAGTAGTGCAAGAAAGGCAACAGGATTGTCACTTGAATTAAAAAGATAGTGAGTACCAAATTTATCTAGTAGCTATCAATTTGTTTATAATTAATGATTTGAACAGACTATGTACCATAAAATAGTAAATCAAAAATATTGTATTTGCTATCAAATATTCGTTTTTACAATTGTTGTTCGTTCTTAAGGTTTCGTACCTAAAGTGTGCTTTTTATCGTACCGTTACATCCTACTAAAGTATGCTACTGAATAAGCCTCCCTCGTAGTTTGCCGCAATGGAGAAATTTTGCCATAGTTGCCACACTTCGCAAGCGGGTTGGCAACCAATAGTTTTTTTTTCGTTTTTATTCGTTATTAGTAAGATGCTGTTGCCTATCTCCTGCTTTGTTTCCCTCCGTCGCCTCTTACGACACCCACGTGATGATATGGGGTAGTGGATTATTTCGTACCGCCACTACCAGGCGGAGTGCCCTAAGGAACCTTATTACTTAGTCTATCTGTCTCTTTGTCGCAGGGCTGTAACTTTTTAATTGTTAGCTCTATAATGGTCACTTTATTGAAAAATAATTAAATGAATAAAATGTTAAAGCCCAAGGGGGTCTTTATATAAGAAATCTCGAAAAAAATAATTTTTCAGAATTTTTTGTGTTTCTTATTCTTGTATCGTAAAAATGGTAATACCACCATTGAATCTATCTATTTTTTGTAATTATCACTATAATAATATTACATGTTCTATACTTAATAAACAAATAATAAAAACAAGATAATATTAGTATATTATTTATTAAATACTAAACAGTGGTGGACTTGGTGGCACAGAACCCAAGGAGACGGATTAGTGTGCATGCAGGTTCAGAAAATGTATTTTTGAAGGATGCTGAGTTGATTTTAAGGCCGAAACCAATAACAGCGTTTACCAAGATGAATTGAATAGGCAAAATTTCACTAAATATATTAAGGAAAAATTAATCCTAAACATACCTCCAAATATCCTTGTAGCTGAACAGTGATTGTGAAAGCGATAGCTGCTCCGATTCTAAAAATGATTATGAAGATAACGATGGGATGTCGAGAATTAAAGTGTTCTCAGACGATTCTGGTCATGGTTCAAGTAGCAGAATTTAATTTTCAAAGATAACTATATGTAAAAAATAAATGTCTATGGAGTTTCTTGTCTGTCTGTCCCATTTGAAATACATATAGTTATCTTTATTGAATGTGATTTAAATTAATATAACCCTAATTTAAGAAATACGTTATCTGAGTCTTCGTGAATAGTTAACTAATCTATACTAATAAATTATTTTATTTTATCTAAACGAAGCCAGTGCCGGTCGCTCGATATAAATTTTCTATTAAAATTAATGTATATACTTGTGTATACAATTCTAATCAAATATTTTCCTATTAATAGAAAATTTACAACCAATCGAATAATATACCTTAAGCTTAAATTAACATAATAACGATATACCGTTATTAGTGGGTTTTCGTTTTTTGTACTGTGCATGTTAACGATACGGGCTCGATGAGTCGCCACATATAATCCCATTCTTTATCCGTAAGGGTTTACCTTTTTTAAATATAAATAAAAAAGGTTAGGTTTAGTGTAATTACACCTAATAAAACACGCCAAGGAATTACAGTAAAATTTATTAATTTAATTTTTACTTAGCCCATTTTATATAATAATATTGTAAATACTTTTTGATTACAAACAGCATGTAAAGAAGAATAATATATTTTGGAAGAAATTTCGGAACCTACGATGTTGTTTTATATCGTTTTTCTATTTCAATATTCTAAGAATAAATCAGTACCGTGGCGGAATGCATGGTGCTGACATGGTGCAGCGGATGGTTAATAGCAAGGCGACGGAGTATAACACGGTGGGCTTGGTTCGAAACGAGGTTCAGAGCATGGAGGACAAGGTTCAGGGCATGGAGGACAGGGTTCAGGGCACGGTGGACAAGGTTCGGGGCACGGTGGGCAAGGTTCGGGGCACGGTGGACAGGGTGAGGGGCAGGGTGGTATACATGGTGGTGTGTACACGAGGCCAGGTCCGACGCAAGGTGGGATTAGCCGCGGAATGCATATCGACGGTGGAGAGATGCAGGGCTCTCCTTGCTTTCCAATGCATACGGTGGCCCCACAGGCGGTACGGTAGCATCGCCACGGTGCCGCTGATACATATCCGAGGAGAGCTAAAATTAAATTAATTTAAAATTTGCTAAAATTATCTTACTATATTACACGAAACATTGAATTGATTATTAAATATTTCACATAGGGTCATGAAATATCCACATTTTCTGTTTACTTTCGTACTAACATTGGTGCGTGTAAACATACGCGCATCTTGAGTTAAAACATCTGTACAAAATGCATTTGGGTTTTATTGTAACAAACCATTCTGTGACATTTAATTTCGTCTTATCTTCAACTGTTTTCTGACAAATATGGGACACCTATTTTTCAGCAGTTGACTTTTAATAGGCTGTTATTAATAAAAGAAAAATAAAACTAGCTTACAGTCCACCAGTTAGTAAGTGGCTAATGCAGCATATAGACACTGGCAACAAACATCAAACAAAAAAGTCTATAGGTGCCTTTTCATCTCTTAGGACTGAGCCATCGCCATCAGTATAAGATATAGAAATTCCATAATGTCTATATCTTATACTGGCTCTCTATACCCTTTAGACCGAAACAAGGCAGAACACGCAATTCTGCTTGATCGTAGAAATAGTTGACACCTTTTCTGTACCCGTGTCTACTCAGAGAACTTCTAGATAGAAAGAAGTCATACTTTTAAATAGAATAATTGTTTACTAAAAATGAATTGATTGCAATGCTTACCAAATACAAAGAGCGTTGAGAACCCCATGCCTGCCAACTGTTACTTTATAGTTTTTTACTGTCCTTTTATATGCGTTCTTTGATAAAAATGTTGATATACGACTGATGCTCCATCATGCGTAACTTATCGCTGGACAAGGTCAGACTTTGTTTTATGTTTTGCTAAATTGGATTAAATACATTTATTTTACTGAATTATTTCACGTGATAGAGCCACGCTACAGCTATATTATAGTTATAGCATTGCTCCGTCCCCGGTGAAGCTATGCCATTCAATATTATAGAGAAGATTTCGGCTTGACTGGGGAAAAGACAATGCTAATCACTTACTCGTAGTTCCGACGCTGTGACGTCGCGAGTTTTGTTACCGCCCAGAGCATATATTTGTATTGTCTACAAATAATTGTCTCGAGCCTAAATATTTCCCTACATGCATTTATATACTCAAAAATGCTTCTGTGGTACCGAAGAAATTTATAATCTGGGGTGACAATTTTATAAAGCAGGGAGACGAATAGAGAAAAGATGAAAAAAATGTTTAACTATAAAACTATGGAGATCGTAGCTGATTTCAAGGATAGCGTTATCGTATATTTTTGATATTTATTCAAACTATAAACTTTGCATGAAAAGCTATTTAAATGTGATGAATTGATTAGGGTAATATGAAAATATTTTATCTTATATTCACAAACCATTTCGGGACATTAAACTCAAAGAAAAAAATATTCACAATATTTTCAAAGCCTTGAAGCTTATGCTAATTAAAGCGTTACATCATTTGTTTTCAAATCTTCATTTTTGATAAAGTTTGATTACATTTAGATATATAAACATTTTATTAGTACTATGTATAAATATTGAAAATTTTACTTTTATAATCAGACGACCGCAACATGGCGTGGGGTAAAGTAGTTTGGTTATCAGGTAATTATAATTACTGTTTTTTCAAATTTATTTTAATACGATCAATTTTAATGTTCGTCTTATGCAGGAAAGATATTTATTTCTTTATATTAAAAGTCTTTTTGTCATCTTTTCTTTAGATCAAAAATACCGCTACTATCAAATTCTGATGTCTAGAAGATTATGGAGCAGATAAGAGTCCGCTGCTCCAATGTAGATAGCAGATTTCATCAATCCTCGACTTTTTAACGAAATGCGTAAAAATATAAAGTTTTTAAACTTTAAAATTACGATCAAAATTCCCAATAGATTTTTAATGTTGCATACTTATGCCAGATTAAATTACCTTTAATCAAAGACTTTAGTTGAGTCGCAGCGTATCTTTAATAGGATATAACTACTTATTTAATTTTATATGTTGTACTTTGCAGCTCTTATTTTGGGCACGACTTTAAGTCAACCGATACCTGATCCAGATCCTCAAATTACTTACACGGAAAATCCCCCTTGTGAACCCTGTGAGCCAGAACCTCCATGTGCTCCTTGTGATCCATGCTCACCTCCGGGTTTTGATGACAATGACGTCATCAAGATTGGACCTTGCAATCCTTGTGAGCCAACTGTTAACTATTTGTATGGTCAAGCACCCCAAGGTGAGGTTAAAAGTGTTTCATTCAAACTAAATTATTTAAAAACAACCAAAATAAAATCAAACAATATGAATTAATATATTCAAATTTAATAACAATAGGTTCAGTGATCTTAAGACCTGGTCAAATTCGGTTTCGGCCACCTCCTCCAATAGTTGTCCGACCAGGAACTATCCGTCTGCCCACACCGCCTGCAATATGGGTGAAACCACCACCAGTTCAACCAGCTGCCCCAGCTCCAATATACGTGAAGCCAGACCCAGTGCAACCGCCTACCCCAGCACCGATTGAAGTCAGGCCTAAGCCTGTGTATCCACCTCGGCCTGCTCCTATTGTTGTTAAACCTGCGCCAGTTCAACCACCAAAGCCTGCTCCAATTAAAGTATGAATTTTTAATATTTCTTGAATATCATATTATTTTTTATAATATTAATTGTTTCAGATGAATTTGCTTATTACAATGTGAATTTTTATTATGTTCCTCTTTAGAGACAAAATATTTTATGAACAAATTTCAGGTACAGCCACCTCCAATACAGCCACCAGCACCGGAATTGCTAGTTGTGAAACCTCCCAGCATTACAGCACCGAGTCCACCTATCATCTGCTTCCAACCAAACCCTCCGTCTCGCTTTAGGACTTCAGGCTGCGCGGTCGTTTCCTTATACCAGTCTCAACCACCGTGCCCAACAGAACATTCTCCCATGACACCTTGTATCCCACCATGTCCTTCTCGATGAATTCCGTCCTATGCATAGATATTCACATGATTATATTTTAATTAATTATAATATATAATATTTATGTATATAATCTACTTTATTAGCTACATTTACAATGCGTGTGAGCGATTGAAATAAAGTGCGGGTATTGTGAAAAATAACGGAGTTTTGTTAAACTATTTACCCCAACATTGATTTAGAAACGGTTGTATGATTTTTTCTTGATATTTTAAAGTAGCGTCACTTTCCCATTAAATTAGATAGACGGACCTGCGAAGCTTCTAGTAACCTCTGGAAATATTACTGCATTCACTTAGGTCAGCAAAAAGAAAGAAAGAATTACTTTTAGTTATATATTTTTTATTTATGATCGTGTGGTAATGGCGAAAAAGAATGTATCGAATCGCCCGAATCATCCTGCAAATACTGTAGAGAGTAGTATGGGAAATAACAGATATTATTGCTTCGTATAAATGGTGGCATAATCATCTTGTATATGTCCGATTTAATTCTTGTGTATCCAGATGTGACTAGTGTTATGTTAGGTTTGGTAAACTTAATTTGATTAATTTAGTTAGGGTCGTGCTGTACTATAAATAAGCTGTGTGAATTTGTATTGTTATGAACAATATTAAATATTTTTATTTCAATTTTCACTTAATTATGGTATAACGCTATACACAACAACGATATGAATCACTAATTTCCGTGTCAAGATGATGGTTAAAAGAAATACTTCCGGCAGTGGTTTAAGAGCATATTCAAACGTTGCACAGAATATTTAAAAGATATTTTTAGTAAAATTTGACAAAATTGTCCAAGTCTTAAAAATTTATAAAAATACTTCAACTATTGTTTTTAATGCATGTCTTCCAGTAGCGTCATATTGACCGTAGAATATGTTTATATTATGAGTAAATAAATGTGCGATGTTAATGGCCGCTGCTTCGTACTGAAGTAACTGGGAGAACATTTCTCTGCCTTATAGAGTAGAAGTCCTGTTAACTCTCTTAGATATAAGAGGAGGGTACTACACGTTACAGCTATTACTTATAATTATTATTGGGGGGTATCAATATAGTTTTCTCATCTGGTTAGGTTCTATAAATATATAGTTATAAATGGAAATAAAAAGATAAATATACATAAATATCAATAAAATTAAATAAATATAAAAATAAACAAATATATAAAAGCCCAACTAGATGGAGGCCTTCGGCAGGGGAGACCAAACGGCCGAGGGTTAGGGGGAAAGGAAAAGAAACCGGCGGACGATGCGGGCGGTATCGAGGAGCACCACTTTCTGCTTTTGAGCCTGGAGCGGTCCGCCACGTATTCCCAGCCGCCTCAGATGACCCTAGAGGCTGACTGGAATTATCCCGTTTGCAGAGACGACTACAGGAATAATTTCACTCATAGTTAGAAAGCGCCGAACAACCGGAGATGACATGCCTAAGTGACTCACCGGGATGGCGACAAGCTCGACAGATGTCGATCGTGCTATCTTTAGGATGTATCACCGATAGTTGTTGGTCTTAATAACCTGATCCTATATTGCACAGACAAAACCCTCGGTTTCCCCGAAGAGGTCACCAAAGCGTAGCCAGTGGAGGGAGGCTACTGCATCTACGAAAGGCTCATGTAGAGCCTTGTAGAACCTCCCGTGGAACTCCTTCTCCTTCCATATGGTCTCCCGGTCAGAAATGCTCTGCACTGCCGGGTCTTGCCGTTGCTCGTTGGCTAAGGATAGAGGGGTAAGTTCTTTATCACAAGAAATGACGTCCTTATGGAATTGATCATCTGATCTCGCCAGAAAGTAATTACGGAGGCTGCACACTTCACGATTATGCATGGTGAGTGCGCTCAAGAAGCCACGCCCACCATGCTTTCGCGGCAAGTACAGCCTCATTACCGACGATCTCGGACGATGCATCTTTTGGGACGTCATGGTAGTGCGGACTTTTCTATCCAGGGCATTGAGTTCAGTCTGAGTCCACCTGAGTATGCCAAAGGTATACATGAGGACAGGCATGACCCAACCGTTATATTCCCTCAAGGCGGTATTATCTCTCCTCTTCTGTTTTCCATTTTTATAAATCTCATTACACTAAATCTCAAGCGTGTATCTTATTCACACCGTACAAAAGGCTGTTAAGCACTTTGGTCAAGCGTGCATAAAACACGTCGCAAACTGACTGTTTCATAACAGCCTCATCGATACCGATTTTCTGTGACATACCCAGGTATCGGTATGTTTCAGCCTCGGAAAGGGTCCTTAAGTTGTCGGGCATAGATAAGTCTATTCCCTCAGAGTTAGTAACTATTCCCCTTTCAACATGGAGGACCACACACTTATCCGTCCCCAGCTCCATTCCAATGGAATTGCTAAATTTACAACTGATGTTTAGCAATTTCGAGACAGGCAGAACCAGATTGGACTCAGACAATCGCCCCGGAAGATACCCCTGCTTATTTATTTATTTGTGCTTTCATTTACAAAAAAGTACATATGGCGGACTTAATGCGATAGCTAAACAGAGATAGACATTATGGAGGCGGTGCAGCAATAATCAAATAGAGAGGATATATATATATATATATATATATATATATATATATATATATATATATATATATATATATATATACGTATATATATACAATATATATATGTATATACATACACAATAGGTTCGTATAAATATTATCTATGTCAGAACAAATATGAAATATATACGAAAAAAGAGCTGAGTTAATTCAAACTTGCAATGATTTAATCATATACTTACGGAGTTGATTTTTAAAGACAAATTTGTTGGAAGCTTTTTTAATGTCAAGAGGGATGTCGTTCCACAGTCTGATGGCCATGAGGGCGAAAGAGTGAGATAAATAACCAGTACGGTGTAAAGGAGTGAGCAACTTAAGATTGGCCGAGGAACGGAGAGAAAAATTATGAGAATCTCCCAGGTATTGAAATTTAGATTTCAGATACTCGGGAGCACATGGATCGTTCAAAATTGAAAAAAGGGTGCAGAGTATTCTAACATATCTTCGCTGACGGATAGGCACCCAGTTTAGCTGTGTACGAAAGGAAGATATATGGTCGTATTTACGAAGATCATAAATGTATCTGATGCAGTTGTTAAGCAGACGATCCAATGTATTAAGATGAAGTTGAGACAGGTCCGAGCAACACACATCGACATAATCAATAATCAGTACAATAATTGATTGGACAAGTAAAATCTTGGTATTGGTGGGAAGAAAGTTTTTAAATCGATATAGAGATCGCGAAGTTCCAGTAGTTTTGCGACTCACCTCCTGTATATGTTTGTTCCATGTTAAGCAACCATCGATGTAAAGAACAAGGTTCTTTACATTAGTAGAGAATGGTATGACATTATTATTAAACATAATTGATGGTAGGGTGAGAATATCTAGTTTAGATAATAATCTTGAGCTACCTAAGATCATCGTTTGGCATTTAGACGGGTTCACTTTTATACCATACACAGTAGACCATTCTGAGATATATTTCAAATCATCATTTAACAGTGAAATAGCACTTAGGATATTTGAAGGTTCCACTTGCGCATATAACTGTAGGTCATCAGCATACAAATGGTAAGAGCTCTTGAGATTTAGTGTAATGAGATTTATAAAAATGGAAAACAGAAGAGGAGAGATAATACCGCCTTGAGGGACGCCAATTGACACATCACGCCAGTCAAATAGTATATGACCAGTATGCACAGCCTATTGGCGCCCTCGAAGATATGTTGAGAACCATTCCTGAGCTGAAGACGAGATATTCAAATGAGAGAGAAGAGCTAACAAGATATCATGTTCGACAGAATTAAATGCATTAGAAAAATCAATTAAGATGAGAACGGTCAGTTTTGATTTTTCCATCCCATCACGAATATCTTCCGTAACCGTGAGAAGAGCAGTAGTAGTAGAATGACCCGGGCGGAAACCAGACTGATAAGGGGAAAGAATATTCTTAGAGAAAACAAAAGAAGAAATCTGTTTATGAGCAACAGCTTCCAGAACCTTAGAAAGAAAAGGCAGGATATAAATTGGTCTGAAATTAGATAAAGCGCTGCATTCAGTAGATTTCGGGATGGGAATAATAAAGGCTTTACGCCAGAGAGTTGGAAAAGCACCATTCGTCAGAGAAAAGTTAATTATTTGAGTTATCACGGGTAAAACAGAATCCAGCGCGTGCAAAACCATTACCCTACTCACATCATCACATCCAACGGCTTGCGATTTAATAGAGGAAAGTGCTTTGCGTACCTCGTCTTCGTCTACTGGAGTAAAAGTGAAAGTTTCATGAGAATAAGAAGGCATGGAAGATATAAAAGAGATAGCATTAACTCTAGAATTATCAGAAACTATTTGAGAAGACAGAAAATTACGATTAAAATCTTCAGGAGAAAAGGTGTCGCTATTATAGTCAAATTGCGATTTTCCATATCCAAGCGTATTCAGAAACTTCCATATATCAGCCGAAGATGAATTAAGTAGTTGTTCGTGGATATATCGGCGTTTAGCAGCTCTCACCATCTAATTGCATCGATTTCTTGCAGCTTTATATGCTTGCCACTTTACATCAGTGCGATTCTTCTTGAAAGCACGGAAAGCTCTATCGCGTTTAGCCATAACCATTCTTACCCCAATCGTGATCCATGGAACAGGAGGACGCTTCAGTCGAACAACACGTTTAGGAGCATGTTTATTATACAGTTCTATCATGTTGCTGTTAAAGAAGTCGACTTTTTTATCAACTGTGGAAGCAGTATATACAGATGACCAGTTAATAGCATCTGCATCGCATTTAAGCTTCTACATATCTATTCTAGCAAGACTACGAATGGAGATGGACACAGATAAAGGCTTGGGAGACTTTAATTTATATGACAGATAAAGCAGGTCATGCCGTGAATATCCAGAAGCAGGAAATTGTCTATAATTGACAACGTGATCAACGGAGGAGACGGCTATAAGTTTTACCA